CAGGATGCGCTCTTGCCGTTGTCCGCGCGCGGGAGGGATCAGTTCTCTGGTTGGGCGGCTACCCTGGTGGACTCGCTCGACACCCTTTGGGTGATGGGTCTGCGGGACGAATTCGATGAGGCGGTTGCCGCGGTCGCCGAGATCGACTTCGGCAAGTCGACTGCTCCGCAGGTGAACATCTTTGAGACCAACATCCGCTATCTGGGAGGTCTGATGGCGGCCTACGATCTGAGTAAGCGGGAAGTCTTGCTGCAGAAGGCCATCGAACTCGGCGACCTGATCTACGGCGGCTTCAACACGGCCAACCGGATGCCTGTGGACTCCATCTCCTTCGACGCCGCCAAGGCAGGAACCGGCCTGCAGGTCGAGGAACAAGTCGTCTCGGCCTCGCCGGGGACCCTCTCGCTGGAGATGACCCGCCTCTCCCAGCTGACGGGCAACCCAAAGTACTACGACGCCATCGTCAAAGTCACCGACGTCTTCCACCGCGGCCAGAACAGCACCCGGCTCCCTGGCCTGTTCCCCATGTTCGTCTCAATGCTAAACAAAAACGTCGTCACTGGCAACGACTTCACCCTCGCTGGCTGTGCCGACTCTCTCTACGAGTATTTCCCCAAGATGCATGCCCTCCTCGCTGGCGCGGTCCCCCAGTACAGGGACCTGACCCTCGGCTTCATTGCCGCAGCGAAGAAACACATCTTCTTTCGCCCCATGATCCCCGAGGATGACGTCGACATCCTCATCGCTGGCAACGTCCGCGTTACCAACGAGAACGTCCCCATCCTCGACCCCGAGAGCGAGCACCTCGCGTGTTTCATCGGCGGAACGGTTGCCCTCGCGGGTCGCTTGTTTGAGCGCGAGGAGGATGTGCAAGTCGGCGCCCGGCTGGCGCGGGGATGCGCATATGCGTACCGCTCGTTCCCGACCGGGGTCATGCCGGAGCGGTATAACATGATTCCATGTAAGGGGGAGTGTAAGTGGGATGAGGAGCGGTGGGTCGAGGAGAGGCAGAAGCGGCCGGAGTGGAAGGCGCATTTGCCAAAGGGGTTCACGACGGCTAAGGACCCGCGGTATATCCTCCGTCCGGAGGCGATTGAGAGTGTGTTTTACATGTGGCGGATCACGGGGGAGGAGGAGTGGCGCGAGACGGCGTGGGAGATGTTTACTGCGGTAGCGAATGCCACGGCCACGGATGTTGCGGCGGCTGCGGTCAGAGATGTCACTGTTGCGAGGGAGTCTGTGGGGTGGGAGGATTATATGGAGGTGAGTCTGGGGAAACGATGATGAGGCTGACTTACCACAGTAGTACTAACATCCTTCGCAGAGCTTTTGGATTGCGGAGACGCTCAAGTACTTCTACCTCGCGTTTTCGCCACCCGACTTGATCAGTTTGGATAAGTATGTGCTCAACACCGAGGCGCATCCTTTTTTGCGGCCATGAGCATCGATTGCCTAGACGGCAATGTCTGGGACTGTGTAACAAAAGCAAAAATAAGGCGTCGATGTGACTGTATGATAGCTTGTGTTGGAAACGGACTGGGAAACATTTACTGGATTATTTCTAGTTACCTCGATGCCAGATTCTATGCAAGAACAAGCTGCATTGATGACATTGCCAAAAGAGGTTAGATCGAAACCTCAACCTCACTCAACCCAATACCCCCCTCTCAGCGAACTCTTTGCAGACATTCTCCTTCATCCAAAACTTGCCTGCCTACCTCCAACAACCCTCTGCAGAACAAAGCATCCGCAGCGCAAACATCCCGATCAATTCGGCCCATTTATCCCCACCCGGTATTGGTATTTAGCACGTTGGCGGCGATTCAATCATCAAACAGTATCAAAGCAGTCCAACAGTCACTTTGGCGGAGTGGTTAACGCGTTGCCCTGCTATCCAACAGGTAGCTGTCAGGCAATTCCCTCGGGAGCACAGGTTCGAATCCTGTAGGTGACGGTTTCTTTTTGTGGAGTCCTTGGGGGCAGGTTTCTTTTTGTTTAGGGTAATTGCTAGATTGTTTTGGGCAGACGTGGGGGGGAGGCGTTTTTGTGTCCACGGGCATGGTAGAAATCCTAGTGGGATTGCCATTGGGTGAGGGGCTGAGGGATCCGAGGGGGTCCATTGATGTGGACCTCCTTTGCTGGTGCGTGGACGCAGAGATGGGTGATGTTGTGTTTGCTCACTCGGACAAGCCATTCTCGATGCGGGTTGATCAACCAGCGAGGAGACTCAGAATGATGGTCGAGTGATTCTTCTGATTTGAGGGTTAGGAACATGTATATTTGCGGGATGGGTGGGCGAGGAATGAAGCCGGTTGAGAACTTTGGAGAGCCGCGCCAGTTGTTATGATGGTGTGACGAGATATGCTACCCGGGTTGAACAACTTTAGGAACCTAGCACCCCCATTGTCCTGGCCACATTCTGATCCAAGGCAAGGTACGACGCAGTCGCCTGGTACGAGGTCGTATCCTCCCAGCTATCAATATGCCAGTCCATGCCCTCGTTCGTGATCGCATCCGCAACCACCTTGATACGCATGCGCCGGGCCGTGTTTATATCCAAACTGCTCAACGCCACCAAAACAAAACAACTGGCGTCTCCTCAAACGCCCCCTCAGCAAAGCCAATGCGCGCACCCGTCTTCGCCTGGGGATTCTCCTACGGCCGCAAATCCCTCGTGTTACATATACCGCTCGCCACGCCCGGCTTATCAGCCGGGTAAGCGATCCACGAAGCGATGGCGCCGTACAGCGTCGATGTCCCCCATGTCTGTATAATCATGGTGAAGCCGGTGGCTGTGATACGCAGCCACAGCGTATTAGGCTCGAGCCAGCGTATCTGCCGTCTGATGCTTTTGTTCCAAACTCGTCAATGACCGACCTTCAGCCGAATACATCAAGGAAAGACGGCAAAACTACGCTTGATATCGCCATCGCCCTGGCTCAAGACCAAGCCATCGAGCAGTTGTTGCAGCACGGAGCGTCAGCCAAGCCCCGGCGGGCCGCCCGAAGTTACGAATCACCCTTGCTAGTAGCAATATAGATGGGGCAGGACTGTAGCCCGAAGGGCAGAGCGGCATACACTGCAATAGTTAGGCTGTTAATAGAAGCCGGAGTGGACAAGGACTTGTTAACCTAATTCTGACCATTTACCGCGCTACATGTCGCGGCTCGCGGGGCGACTTGACAATCGTCAATCTCTTGGTGGAAAAGGGGGTTGAACTTGAAATGAAAGAAGCAGACTTTCGTCGACCAAGCTTTTACGAACAAGAACTCGAGTATATCCGTGAAACTGGAGAAGAAATCAAGGCGTTGGGCGGATATTACGGAACTGCATTGTTAGTCGCTATATACCGCGGCAACGAGAAGGTTGCAAAGATGCTAATTGATGAGGGCGCTGATGTTCAGCAACCGGGTCGACTTGGCAACGTCGTAGTAGCTATGGAGGTTGGATCTGAACCACTGGCTGGTCTGCTCTTGCGACACGGCGCGAGCCCCACTGATCCAAATCTGGTTCTCCGCGCGGTGGAAAATAACAGCACGCAGATGGTGCGTCTTCTCCTGGAACACGGGGCTACTACGGAGTCCAAGGATGAGAAAGACCGCACACCCTTCTTCTCGCCATCGAGAGGAGGCACGACGACATGATTGACGCCCTTTTGCGGATTTCAGCGTGAACGGCGGGCTTTACGGGTCGCCGCTCGGGCGGAAATGTACTAGGGCCAGCGGGAGCTAGTTGATCGGTTGAAGATGGCAGGGGCTCGCATTCCGAGTTTGTATGGGGAAGTGAGTCTCGATCATATTATACTTGCGTAGGTAGGCACACTTAGGGAGGGGTATCATGGACTTTGGTTAACCTCGGCTGTAGTCATTATGCGATAGAGCAGGAATAAAATCGCCCACAAGCTCCAATGCGAGCAATTTTAGACTTTGACATGGCATACCACAAGGTATTTGCATCTTCGCGTCGCTACTTGCCGAGTTTGATGACAAGTACGAGATCACCACCGCTTCTACGCACCTGGCCCGCGAGCTCGGGGTTTTGCCATCGCCTGGGAACACCGGTATTATGACGAGAGTCAACCGGTCGAGTTGACCGAGGACACGGACGACTACAGTTCCAGTGAAGTTCCTGTTAGCGGTGCCCAGGGCCACCAGTACCTGACCATCGAGCAGTCACTCGAAGACATTGTTTGCTTTGCAAATCACATCAACCAGACCACCTTGATACAAAACGCGGTCCTTGCATCTGCCAATGCAACACAGCACCTGGACCCATACCACACCCCCTGGATATGGGTGGGCGGGAGCTACGGCGCGAGCCGTGACACCTGGATGCGGCTGCGCAACCCCGAGGTGATATTCGCCGTCTGGGAATCCTCTGCCGTAGTCGAGAGCCGTCCAGCGGCTTCGGCGTACTGGAACGCCATGCACCGCTCCATGCCTCAAAACTGTTCAGCCGACATGCAAGCAGCGATGCACCACATCGACGACGTCTTATCATCCGACTCGTCCTCTGCCGCCCTCGACCTGATGATGGCCATCTACCTCGCTACTACGAACTGGACTGCTGAGCAAAACAAACTCCTCGCCTCCCCCAAAATCCCGCCCCTCATCACCGCCGCCTACCTCCACACCCCCCAGCCTCGCGAGCAAACTCACGGGGAGTGGGATCCCTGGCGGGCGTATGGGGTTGCGAGTTTGGAGGAGGGGGCGCCGCGGCGGGGGGTTTCGAGGGCGATGCTGCGGTGTGGGGAGACGGCGGGGAGGTTGTTGGGGTGGTTTTTGAGGGGGCGGCGCATTGTCCTGATCTTGGGGGGTATAAGGGGGAGAGGGGGGAGTTTGACGAGGCGGCAGAGTTGGTTTTGAGGGCGTTGAGGGAGTGGTTGCCTTGTTTTCGGGAGGGGGAAAGGAGGTGATGGGGTGGGACGTGTTGCTTCGGGGGGTACTCGTCGAGATACACAAGCCGGCATAAACTAGATTGTGGCTGCTGGGCAAAAATAACGTCATCCACAGGATTCGAACCCGTGCTCCCGAGGGAATTGCCTAGCAGCTATCTCATGAACAGCAGGGCAACGCGTTAACCACTCCGCCGGAGCGACTGAGCTAATCTCGCATAGCGGATGTGATGCGTGGGTCAGTGAGGAAGCTGGAAGTAGGCTACTCGGCTACTCTTTTGGCTTGTTGGCTTTCCTATTACTAGGTCAAGCTTCTATCTTAGGGATAAATCAATAGTCTCAACTAGAGTCGCTGTATATCGAGTGAAAAAACCCAGCTTCGGAATGCTAATAAATATCAATACGTTAACATCCTTCCCAGAAAACCAAGCAAAAGCCTTCAAATATTATCTTCATGTCTCTTCTTCATTGTCCCGAGAAGGGCCTGTCTAGGTACTTACCGTTTCCCATCGACACTGGTGAGATAGGGGGTTGGTGAGTTTGCAGCTGGGGCAGATAGAGGAGGGCTGTTCTGTTGTCGTTGACAGTTGACTCCTCCTCGCCATGTCGAAAATAGCTGAAATTTCGGTATTCTGGCAGTCAGTCCCGGCAGAGGAGGTCAACTTGCAAAAGACGTCTTTCGAGACCCCCAAGCTCCCACAGGATGTCGCGGTATTCTGCCGCCGAGCCGCGGACATCGTCGAGAGTCTCAACTATTTGGTATGGCCATCTCTGCGTCTAGTCCGGTGGAGTCTGGTGCAGGCAGTGGTGCAAGAAGCCGGCGGGGGTCTAAAGAGTGAGGCTTCTGGACTTCATTGGCCATGAACAAAGCACAAACACAGCCCCGTTTCCGGCCGCGAGAATGCCTTGCTGTTTTTCGGCCACTCGGGATGGGACCAGATGGGTGCATATTTGAGGTACTTGACTTGTCGGACGCAGATGTCCCTAAGCCGAAGCAGAACCCTCTCTATAAACCGAGCCCCGACCAAAACGCCATCTTCATCCAGCATGCCTTCCCCCTCGGCAGAAAAGTCCTCATTCAGAGAATCGAGACAAGTAACCATAACAGCCGCATACCGACCACCCATCCTCGCCGACAACCTCGCCCTCGCCAACTCACCAAGTGCTTCGCGACTCCAGGATCGAGGCGACCGTGTTCGCCAACCACACCGTCCAAGTCGTCTAGGTACCGAGTCGGTATATCTTTGCCACTTTCTTCAAAAAGCGACAACGAGGTGCCTTTACAAACGACGACGCCGGCGGCAGCATGCGCCACCCTTATGGCGTAGATGACATGATTGAGAAGCTGTGGAAAGCTGCAGATTATATCCAAAGATTTAGGCATAAGCCCGGCAAGTACGGCGCTTGGCGTAAAGCTTTTGAAAAGTCGTCCGACTCATATATTCACTGGAGTCGAGATTTAGATGGCTGGTGCATTAGATGGCTGGTGCATTAGATGGCTGGTGCACCCTGCATTACCGGCCAGACGCGTACATCACAGCGAGTGGTGGAGTGGCGGTAGGCCTAGATTACCTAGGTATAGTGTTCTGGTGATGAGAAATACACTTGGCATGTTGACCCCTATTTTGCCTGCCATGTGCTGCCCTGGTGTGGGCAGAGAAAAGTGAACATTGATCCTTCCGAGGTGCTACAAGCATGCCAACATGCAGCTGTCTAATAAGGGAACCAAACCATCCATTCTACCCCTACGCCTTTGGTTGACTTGTCACAATAACACATTTTCCCACCCCGCAAACTCCTCCCCCAGCGCCCGCGCTGGATGGGGCTACACCATATCCCTCGGAAGACTCGTAATGGTAACCTTCTTCTGCCCCTTTCGGCCCGCATGATACTCGTCCTGCCAGCTGGACGCGACCAGGTCCTTCTCGCTCCCATCCCGACTCAGCGACTTGATCTCATCCTCCCCTCCCCCCACCAGCACCGGAACACTGCGCATCTCGAACGACTGCTCCACCTGGATGGCGGTGCGCGTGCTCGACCGCAGCGCGCTGCCGCCGTGGGCCTTGCTGCCGCTGCTCGACTCGTGCACGCGCGTGTCCTCCTTGCCGGCGGAGCGCGTGGAGGCGTAGTAGGCGGCGGCGCCCTTGGTGCGCGCGTAGAGGGACGACAGCAGCATCTTGGGAAAGGCCTTGACGACGAGGGGTTTGATGGCGGGGATGGAGGCGCAGATGATGGCCGTGTTGATCTCGATGCAGGACCAGATGGCGATGCTGACGCCCATGACTGAGATGATGGGGGTGTGTTAGTGGGTGATGTGTGTGGGGGGGGGGGCAGAGTAAAAGGAAGACGAACCGGATTGTTCGGCCTGGGGCGCGATGGCGATCATGTAGAGGGATTGCAGGCGGATGATGCTGGTGACGACGGCGAGGGCGCCGACGCAGAAGAGGCCCATGAGGATGATTTTTTGTTTTTTCGGGATCTGCAGCCGCCAGAGCAGCGGCACGGGGACCACGATCAGGATCAGGTCCGTCGCGATGTTGATGCCGGCGTTGGAAAAGGTCAGGACGCCCTTGTTCAGACACACGCCCTGCATGCCCGTGACGGCCAGCCAGTAGGCCTCGACGGGCCAGCACGTCATGATGGAGCTGAAGAAGGTCCACAGCCCGTACACGACCAGGAAGACAAAGTAGGTGCGGAAGAAGCGCTGCATCTTGGGCGTGCGCAGCACGCGGTAGCACTGCACCGTGATGGAGAGCTTGCACAGGATCAGGGCCAGGTTGTACACGGGGATCGTGGCCCAGAGCGCTTGCAGGAACCCGGGCACCTCGGGGAAGGTGAGCTGTCGTCCGAGGCCGACTTTTATTTCTGTTTGTCTTGTTAGTCAATGCTGACGAGATATTCGTGACGTGAGGTCGTCTTACGGAGCATGATGATGATCAGGAACCCGATCGAGGCAAGCTGTCCACCCCTGTCAGCATGTTGTTCCAGACTTTCAAAAAGGTAAAGATCAACGATCTCGCCATCGCCAACATGGGAGGCCTGCAGCCGAGATGGACAACTCAATCCCGACGGCATGTGCATGTCGTGCAGAGCGGAGGTGGGTGAGCAGGAAGAAAAAGGGGCTAACCATGGATAGCGCCATAAAGGCGTCGTCAACACCAAAATTCTTGACGAGGAACAACCTGGTGCCGAGGCGCATGCACACGACGATGAAGGCGAGACTGGTAAAGATGCAGTCCGCGACGACGGCCGGCATGGCCAGCGGGGCGATGTTCAACACCATGTTTGCAGCACCGACCGACGACAATGTTGGAAATGATGAGTCAACCTTTGTTCAAAACATCAGTCCATGAAAGAGACGAGGGATCAATCAAGGGGCACCCGCTGTCGACAAGACAGACAAGACCAGCGGCGGGATGGGCCAGACCGGAGGGATGCGGCGGGTGGGTGGGTGCACTCGGCGCGTCTTATACCGATCTGTGGCCGGTACCAAGCGTCTGGAGAATGAGAGTGAAAATCGTCTGGTTATCAACCTGCCCAGCTCACCATGCCGTGCTTTTCTGCTTTTCTTTTTCTCTTCCCATCTCCAGCACACAGTACCAAAAAAAGACAGAATCCTGCAACCAGACGCGTTTCCAGCGTACCACTGTTACGTACAGCCGTCTGCCGTTTCCCCGTTTCCCCGGCAGGGATCACCGCTGCGGACCTGACACACGGCCGGATGTCAAGAAGCCAAGATGCTGAGGAAGGGCAGAAGAAGACGCCTCCGAAGACGGGATATCCATGTGGGCTGCCGGCTGCAGGACCTGCTCTCGCCCGGCACGACGTAGCGTTGCCTCCCTGACGCTAAGCGGCCGTGCGCCTTGCCTGGATATATCGGCCACCTTGGGTTGCCCAGTCGGGCGAGACCAGGAACCAGAATGACCAGGGTTGTCCAAGCGCGAGACGGCACCGTTGGGTTAGGGGCCGAGAAGGACTTGTATTAGCTCAAGCACTTGGACGATGTTGGATTAACATTAAAGAACCAAGGTCGAACAAGCCAGTCCCGCCTAGCCTCGATCACTCCGCGATCAAGCTCCGTCTAACATCGCAGCCCAGTGTTCTCTTTTTTTCTTTTTCGGCTCCCAGTAGTACGGCGCCTGCTGTCTCATCGGGCAATTCAATAGCGTGAGACGGCCAACCCATGGTGCATCCCCAGAGAAATCCTTGGCGAGCTGGTTTCCACGCGATTTGTCAAGGGGCTTTGGCGTTTTCTCGCAGGGGTATCCAGGAGCCAACAGACGACCTCCCCCGAAAAAGAAAACAGAAACAGGGCCGTGGCAGCAGTTTCAACCGAGTATTGGTCGATTGGCCCTTTAGAATCCCAGGGCTGATCCACCTGGAATGGAGGGTGCCAATCCGGGGTTCGGAACGTCGTCTGCCAGACAATAGACTCTGCTGAAATCTGGCGATGGCACGGTGAGAATCCAGCAGAGGAATTCTCCCAAGATTTCCACCGTTTACCCAAACCAACCCAGCCATACGTTCCATATTATTAGAATGCCGTGCACACTAGTGCTGCGGGCGGCATGCAGTCGCTTAGCACAACCGAAAAAAGAGCCCAGAGACGTTCCCCAAAGCGGCTCTTCGTTCTCATGCGCGCATGTGGCGTCTTGACGCGGCAGGTCCTTGGGAAATTGTAGGCGGGCGTTTCATCATGCAGCCAACGAGAGGGCGCCGTTACAGCGCCGATATTGCAACCCTCAGAAGCTCGGCAGTTGGGTGCGGTGTGGCACAGTCCGTTTCGAACCCCCACTCAACGGGGCTGAACCACGGAAGGTAATGTCCTGACTCTCTCCTCCTTTGACGGACTGGAAGAGATTAGGGGTCGGATTCTTGCCAAGCGAGGCTACTATCAAGGTAATCGGCCACTACCGCCAAATTCATCCCTGTTCACTTTCACAGGAGTCGGGGATGTAGCCCACTAGGTCCACCATTGCCAATGCTGAGACTGTTCGAGACCAGATAATGAATGATGCGAGAGTTACGTGTGATTGTTTCTGCCCAGCCTTGTATCCACCCCTAAACCCGGGGCGAGTAGAGTTCCTCGTCTTTTTCCAGAGGGGCGTCAATATGCATGTTGAACTCCTTGCTGGGATCCTCGATAAAGACCGCAACTATAGCAAATATGTCAGTAAAGCAACAATCTGGAACAACAGATACAA